CCCAAAGGAATTTTTGTTCACAAAAGGGATTAGTTACTCAATACAGCACACAACATCCTCACAATTTTCAGTCAGATTTGGGATAATTATACCTTCTGTAATCCACAATCCACTAGTTAGCTGATAAATTAGTGTGCTTTTTACAAAGAAGTAATACTCGTGTTACAATTTGTAAAAAAAAAAAAAAAAAAAAAAAAAAAAAAAAAAAAAAAAAAAAAAAAAAAAAAAAAAAAAAGCCCAAAGAAAAACATAAATAAATAAAATAATGAACAATCAGTCATGCAGTGAAGCAAACAGAATTAACAGAGAACCCTTTCAACCCTATCAGGTTTCACTTTAAATAAAGCAAACCCCATACTGCAAAAACACAAAGGCCAATGTTTTACCCTTCTGTGAATGTACATCAACAGGGGTTATACAAAAATTCAAGGACAGAATGTGACTGAATAGTAACTTTTTAAATTACTTAGTACTACCTTTTATACTTGATCAGTTAGTAGTCACACTGAGTTTGATGGAAATATTCATACGAGAAAAAATTACTTGCACAAGAAAAAAACTGTAGAATCAATCACAATGAATTTCATCCTAGTTGTGTTCAAAGGGGCAATATGAGATATAAAAAACAAATTGGAAAATCTGAGTGATGTTTGTTGATAATGTTACTGTAAGGTAATTAAAATACTCTTGTAGATGAAAGGTGATAAGTCACTATCAGATACCTTTAGGCAGACATAGAGTCTTTGTTACTCCTGGATGTTGCACTTATTTCTTGTTTCATTCACTCTATATTTACAGTAAAACATCCGGACTAGAAAAATTCCATATTTATTTAGGATTTAGCCCAAAATATTTTCATCAGTATTAAAAAACAGAGAAAATAATCAGGCTATTGGACCCAATTAACAAGAATGAAAGGAAGAGCTATTGCATTAGCACTTTGAGAAAGATATACTATATGTATGGGCTCATTTGATTCACACATTCCAAAGTAAGGCTCCTTTGATTTTGAGTGCACTGCACAGAACAATTTACCTCAGACATAGCTGACATGGGCTCAGGTAGGTGCTCTCTTAATATGCCAGTTCAACAAGGTGCTAAACCATAAACACTGCACAAAGTTCACATCTGACTGAAGTCAATGCTCATTCTGGTATCTGCTGAGGACTTCTATACTACTGACAGGTTGGTTAGAGTAGCTGCTGCACTAAGAAGGCTGTTATAGGTCCAGCAGCTGCAAATAAAAGGCTAAATGATGGTTGACAGCATAAATAAAATAAATATATATTTTTAAAGACAGTTTTCACAAACTACTGGTTACACAGTAAGTATAAATAAATGCCTGGTCTAAAAACTCAGATGTTATTCTGGACCAAAGAATCCCAGACACATACAAAACTCTGTGGTTTGGGGACCAGGCTGTGGGACTTTTCTGGGATGCAAAATATGCAAAATTCATAAATCCCAGCACTGCTTCTCATTCCATAGCACTGTACATGTCTGAAAGGGCTGGACTTCTGCACATCTTTATCTTAATCCTACTTAAAAAGCTTATGAATGAGAACACTGGAAAATGGAGGCAAATCCTGTTTTCCTCATCTGAAATGTCTACTGAATTCACAATTGTCTACTGAATTCCTGGGATGAGGACTAAGCAAGAACTGCTGAACCTGTAATATAGTAATTAGTGATGAGATGAGTGACTGAGATGAGATGCACATCTACATTTACTAAATTAAAAAAATCAAAAAGGTAAGTGTGCCTGTACTGTGCAACAGTACTTGACCTTACTAGCTAAACATAGTTTTAATTTCTTGCCACACATTCTTCTCATTTTCTCCTATTTATTGTGGCATATCCTATAAAATACATGCTGCTCATTTGCTGTCACCTTGTTCTATCTCACCTTGCTGTGAATGAAGTCAGTGGCAAACCTTCACTGACCTCGAAAGGAGCAGGATTTGTCCTGAGATGCCTAATCCAAAGCAGGACTCCCTCTTAATTCAGTAAGCTTTGGATCAGACCTAGAAGGGCTCTTAGCAGAATCAAGAAGTGACAAGACACAGTCACATATCAAAACCACATCCGAGTATTTATCTCACATTTCTAATCTTTGCTGTGAAAGGGATTAAAAAGCAAGCTGTTCCTGTCAATTGCTTGGATGCCACACAGGATCTGAATGACTGAACAAGCACCTATAGTATATCTATGCACACTCATACAGTTTTATCTCTTCAAAAGGGAGCTAATAATTGGTTTTGAGGCTTATGGTAATATTTCCTCACTTGGTTCCCAACTTGCCACTGTCAAAATCCTTTCTACTCCTACAGAGGAAAGAAGATGGTTGTGCCTCTCAGGACAAACTAGAAACTTATTTGACCAAACACAAAAAAATGAAAACTCTAAAAGAGATGTTATCTAAACACTTCAGACAAAACCTTGCCACTGATCCTAACATAGTCTGCTTCAAAGGGCATCCAACTGATTCCACCATATCTTGTTTAATGTTACCTAAGGTCAAATGTGTTGTGATGGTCTTTGCTCTCCTTTATGTCGTTCAGCCAAGTTTCTATAGATGTCTGAGCTGCCATGGGTATATCTGACTATAATTTTGGCTATGTATATATATACATATATATATATATATGTATTTACAGACTGAAGGTGACAAGACAGAGAAACTGAGTGCATGTATTATGGTGACTTCTAGCTATCAGAACCACAGAGACCACATCAAATAGCATTAACTTAGACAAAAGGCAATTGAAATAATGAGAATCATTACAACATATACACAAGTGCAATGTGAAACTACCTGTAGCAAGCAAGATCTATAATATTGAATCAAATTAGGGCAAGAGGGGAAAAGGAAATAAAAAGGTAAAAAAAAAAAATATTTAGACATCTTTGTAAATTGAAGAAACAGCCATATTCATATGCAAAATCTGAGGAGAAATCTGCTTGCAGTGACCAAAAGGGGATGTTCTTAAAAGCTCAGGGTCAGCTTAATCTCTTTTAAGCAAATTCATGATGGGGAGATGTGTAAGTCATAAGAACAATTTGATGAATGGCAAGCACTCATTCAAGTTTAACCATCCTATATTTCTGCATTTATTCAACATGCAAATGAATGTAAACGAGTCATAGGCAAAGAATTTAAAAATCAGTATATTACTTTTGTATTATTACTTTTGTATTACTTTTTATTAATCTGCTTCATCTTACTGCATTGACTCCTACCTAGTCTTAGGCAAACACTAATTAATTATATGTCTCAAGCCTTAGAGACAACTGCCTTCATTTCTGTATATAAAAGACAAAATATTTCACAAACATATCTGCCTGCTGGATGTCTCTGAGGCAGTGCCCACTGCCAGGTGCTCTCCCAGGTCATGTGCAGTGTGTTTCAGCAGCGTGGCTCTGACAGGATTTCCTCCTGCCCGTATCCAGGAGGAGAGGTCTATTAGAGAGCGCACTGGTGACGTTTCGAGGCGTGCAGGACCGAGAAGCTGGTCCCTGAGTCCTGCAGGCAGTGCAGGAGCTGTGTTGCAGAAGTGCTGGTGAGGGCTGATGGGGCTTTTACCAGGGGATCACGGTGCGTAACACGGCCTCCCTGAACCCTTTTTGGCAAAATTTATGCCCATCTGCTTCCCCTCTGCTCTTTCTCCTGGAGAGGAACATATGGCCCAGAATATGTATCTTGGAAGCAGAAAATGTATTCATGTAGTTTTCTAAAATATTCTGAATACTCTCATTTCCTCCTATAAGCTTTTATTCCACTTACAAACCTTAAATTCTGCCACAACATTTTTTTTTTAACAAAGTAAGTTCCTTGCTTGAAAAGTTAGGTAGCTCACAACGAAAAATGAAAATTAAAAAAAAAAAAAAAAAGTGCCTTGTACCTCTATAGTAAGAGTTACTATTGCAAGAAAAATCTTTGCCCAAATTCTAATTTTTTTGTCCATTGCACCATCATATTTTAATACTTACCTTGGTCCAAGAGCATTGCATCCAATAACAAAGAACAACAGAAGAAAATAAAGCACAATTAAATTTAACATGAACATCTAAACATCAAACATTTTCATTTTGAGTCATTCAAACTGGCGATGAGCTTCCAAAATTAGTTAGTGTTCCACGCCACAAACAGAACAACTAAGTTCCTCAAGATGCAAGTAAATCTTTCTTTTAAATACCAGTACCAACATCTGTGTGTGCAATTCTATTTCCACAATCAGGGTAAACTTCTCCATTGTATCAGTGGGACTTCAGCCAACTTCCCTGTTTGAAGACAGCAGAACTGGACGCAGGATTCATCTGAATTTGTTCTCACTTCTGAATAAATATATATAAACTTTACACATAGTTGTGTGTGTCTACATGCATAGAATATATACTTGTTTATATACATATACCTGTATACACATAAATATATGCATGCATTAATATTTCAGTATTTTTATACAAAACACTCTAATTCTTGATTGCAAAAATGTAGTATGAGAAAACATGCAGTAGTAAAACCACTCCAGACCAGCTGATGACTCTTTGACAGCTTATCCAGAACAACCTACCAAACACTGACACACTACATCTGCAGTGCCTGTAACAGGACAAGCAATACTGAAATGGATGTTTGTCATAACCAAATGCTTTTATAAAAAAAACAAGTAGATAATGTATTCTGTCTGTATTTTCATTGAAGTGTTTCATATGGAGTGCATTAAGAATCACACAGATGTTTCTCATCAAATACACAAAAGCAAAGTACAATACAATACAGTAGTTGCCTAAAAACAACTGAATTCAGCAGGGTTCCTTCTGCTGATTTCAATGGAGTTTAGGACACATTTGGATGTTTTCACTTAATGATATGCAGATTTTTAGATTCTTCTTTTCTCTAAATATTTTAGTGGATGTTGTTGATTCCTACAAGTCAGATACATGGGTCATGAAACCATTTTCTACTATCTTTGTATTAAGCCTATTGCTTTTCCTACCTTTGCTGCAACAGATGAGTTGGGTTTCTCAAGCAAGTCCCAAAGCTTCTTCCTTTTCTCTGGGCAGCAGGTATTATCAAACTCTTCCCCTTCTCTCTCTCGCAATGTCTCTGCCTCTCTCCTCAGTTCCTCATTCATTTGCTCTTTCTTCTGATGGTATCTTGCCTGGCAGCAAGATTCTAAATATATTTCATCAATCCCCCAGTAATCAAGCTCCTGGCCAAAAGAGAGAGCACACATTTCTTCCATCATATGTAGTTTCCCTGTCCTGTAGAAATTCAAAATGGAAGTGAAAGCCCCTGGGTGTCGATCAAAAAAATACTCATTTTCATTCAGATTATAGTCATCACATACTTCTAGCAGAGATTCGTGGGTATTGCAGTCTCTGAGCTTTCCTAATCGTGTCCTTGGAAGTCTGTCCAAAGTCCTCCAGAGCACTTCATGGTTGAGCCCACCAACATTTATTTTAACTCTCCGTGAGCAGGCTTTGCTCCTAATGATCTCCACTGGTTCTGGGGGGAGAGAAAGGGTGGACCTTGAAGACTTTTTGGTGATCCCTGGTGGAGCTTTCTCAGCCATTCTGAAAAAGATGAAGATGTAACACCAGAGTCTGTAGGAAAATGAGCTTCGAGACTACGGCTATTTGGGCAGAATCCTCTTCAGACAGACAGCTCCATTCCCAAAGCTAAAAAAGACAAAAAATTAGAATACTGCCATGTACAATGCATCCTCCAATCTCTCTCTTGCTCTCTCTCTGTCTTTCTCTCTCTCTCTCTCTCCATACTTTCATATGCAGATAAACATTTAATGATTGCAATTTGCCCTCTTTATAGTGATACTCTTTGTGGTAATATCCAGAAGCACTGGAACAGCTGGAACAGCTAAGATCACTATGTTTAAAAAAAGGAAAAACTCATTGGAATTTCTGTATTTGTGAAAATCAACTGTTACAATTTGTACAAAGGACTTAAGTTTTATTCTTTTTTTTTTTTTAAGAATCGGTTTCTGATGCAGCTGTGTTAGTTTAATCTGATTACTTATATTTTAATGTGTGTAGTGTGCAAATGGAAATATTATAAGAATATCTATAAGTAAAGCTAGAGGCTAGTCTACCTTTTATTGAAAAATTCAAATTTGGGTGATACTGAAACTGAATAAAACAATCACAGCATATCAAAATCTCCAAACCAAACTGCTTCCCTCCTTGTCCCAATTCAAATTTTAGTTTGCTGTATTATTTAATGGGTAAATGTTATTCACCAAACAATTCAACTGCCATCCTGTAAAGTCATATTTTTTAGCACCACACAGTACTTATGTCTTTACAAGCAGGTCAAAAGAATCCTAAGGCTTTTTGTGGCCAACTGACCAGTAATACATGTTATATAGGTAAGGGCTGTGCATACTGTTCTCTGGATCCTCTGAAAGGCTCTTCTCTGCCCCACTGTTCACCTGTTATATTGCTGCAGACATGACTGCATGACAGCCATCAGCAGCCTCAGTTTCAATAATCCCCAAGTCCATCCTCACTCACTGTGCCAAGTGCTTCAGTGAACTCTGAAGTGCAGCTGCCTGTCACTAAATGTAGAACGCCAGTATCAATCAGGAAGGAAACCCACCCACCACCTCTACTGCTGCCAATTGTCAGACATAGTGCTTAAATATTAACCAACGTTAGTATCACGGCCCAAAGAATGCTTAGACAAGGCTTCTGTTCCAAAGATGGAAACTCCTCCCCAGTAATTTCCCAGAGTTGACATCTCCTCCTCCTGTTATCAGCAAATCAACAATTCAGTAATCTCGGGGATTTTTTTATTTGCTTGTTTTGTTTTGCTTGAAGTAAGTCCAGCAAATAAAAAAAATGAAGTGTACAAGAATTTGATCCTCTTTGCAGAGTAAAGCATGAAAGTTGTGCTGAGAGGGATTTTTACTTATAAATATATCAGGAGTAAACACCTGGGAGGGTTTGAACTATTTGTACCGAAGTACCAGTTGGCACAAGAACCAATGGGTACAAACTCATCATGAGAAAAGGCAAGAACCTGAAAGAGAATTAGAAGGTCACATAGACCAGCTCCTCACTGGAGCAGTGAGGATCTAGAATAGTCCTTTACTAGACGTATCAGGAAAAACAAAGAATAATTCCAGTGTGTCATCTGACACACCCATGACAGTATTGACTATGTTGCTGGTATAAAATCAAAATTGCTAAATTTCATTAGAGCTAAATTTTAAGTTCCTCCACCAATAGATAAAATAAGACTCAGTTAACTACAGTCAAAGTATAACAGACTATCATGTCCAAAAACATCAGAAAAGAGGAAAATTACTTATGAGAAAAATACTTACATCTAAAGATTTACTTTTTTGTTTTGTTTTGTGCATAGAATAATTATTGCAACAGCCTAGAACACCATAATTTTAGTTACCTATTTCACTGTCAAGCTGAACTTCAAAACTATAATGGTCAAAATATTCTTCATCTTCCCATCCTGCCTCCAGCACTGCATTGTGAAGATCCCTCTTCATCTCCCAGTGCAACCCATAGTGCTTCTGTGCCTAATTACGTAAGGGTTTAAGCCTGTAACATTTACCTTCATTCACAAAAATTATAATTTCAAAGATAAATATCCTATCAAAATCAAAGCCTGTCATCAGTAGATTCACATAATATATATCCCTTTCTTTTGTGTTTGCATTTTGTTTTTTTTTCTTCTTGACTTTAGGCTGATTTTTTCCTCTGGTTTTACCCTTCTCTTCATTGCCTTATATGTAAGGGAGTGATGGTGTGACTTCTGAGAAGTGGGGGACTCCAATCCTTGCAAGATGTCACTTAAGCATTTGCTAGTGATCTGTTATGCATTTGTCAGTCTTCTGACATACAGACATCTAGACAAAGAATAAATAGTTATTAGAGGCTATTTCTTTAGAGAGGAAATATTTGCAAACTCTATTTTTTTAAAAAATCATTTTATATTTTAATGCACAAAGTTATTTCTCCTTAAAAGGCTATCTTACTTAAGAAAACACAAGAATTTAAGAAATCCATATAGAGGTTCTGTTACCCTTCATGAAATCAGTCAAGTCTTCATGAATTTCCTAGATAAGTTCAATAGTTTATTCACTATTGTATCTCAGGGATTTATTCTTATGTTTTTAAAATGAAAATGTGTACCCTAATATTAGCAACATCAAGTAAAAACACAATAGAGATCAAGCATCTCATCTGACTAATATTAAATTAACCATATCCTTATTTATTTTTCTGACTGCAAAAACAACAGATTAACAAGACTATGCATTGATTTAACATTTCTGCAGTGTAGTTACCAGACATATATTTTAAACAATGCAAATACTCTAGTGTCACCATGAGTAGTATAAAGCTGATAAAACATTCCTTGATTTTTCAGTATAATTATTGGTTGCATTTTCCTACTTGAGGAACTGTGGCTTTTCTAAAAAACTTTAAAAATCCTGGTGGCCACACTGAAGTGAGCAGTGAAACACTATAAAGTTTAGTGTTGAGAACCTGCTATGTATATATGCATGTTCCAAGGGATGAACCACCATTCACAACATGCAGCATTCTGAAAAGATAAAAAAGCCCATTTCCCCAAGTGAAGAATCTTGAACCATGAGGGTGATTTTTTGCCTTTTTTACAAAGTTCTTGTCATTGAAATATACATTGAAGAAGGAGGATGTATAAATTTAAAATAGATAAATAAATAATTTTAGTTTCCTTCATAATTGCTTTTCTTCCCACCTTTTGTTCTTCCTACCTTCTGTAGTTCTCTGATGATAATTTTTTAAAAATATCTTCTGTGCAGATTTTCCCCAAACCTTGTATAAAAACCCTTGTTTTACCTGTGCCTTTAACAAAAACATATCCAACAGCCTCTACTTTCAGAATCACAGGGTCCCCTTGCCATCTTCATAGTCGTCCTTTGGGCACTCTGGAGTAGCTTTATATTATTGTATTGTGACACCCGAAACTGCCCCCAGCACTCGAGATGGGGCTGCCCCAGTGCAGAGAAGAGTGGGACAATCCCTCCCTTGCCTGGCTGGCCATGCTGTGCCTGATGCCCCCCAGGACATGCTTGGTTCTCCTGGCTGCCAGGGCACTGCTGCCTCATGTTCAACTTGCCATCAAACAGGACCCTCAGGACCCTTTCTCTGCCACTGGTTTCCAGCCTCTCATTTCCCAGTCTGCACATCCATCCAGGGTTGCCCCATCCCAGATGCAGAATCTGGGCATTACTCCTTGTTACACTTCATACAGTTGGTGATTGCCCAGCCCTCTGGTTTGTCAAGCTCTCTCTGCAGGGCCTTCAAGGGAAACAACAGCTCCTCCCAGTTTTGTATTCTCAGCGAATGTGATATCCCTTCCAGTCCTACATCCAGGTAATTTATAAGATGTTGAAGAGCACAGGACTGAGGATGGAGCCCTGCAGAACCCCACCACAGACAGGTCAGCCTAATGTCTTCCCATTCACTGTAACCCTTTGTGTGCCTGGCTCATGAGCCAGCTGCTCACCCATCCCATGATGTGTTTATCCAGCTGTGGGCTGGACATTTATCCAGAAGGATCCTGTGAGAGGCGGTACCAAAAACCTTACTGAAATCCAAAAAAGGTAACACCCACTGCCTTCCCCCATCAACTAGGTGAGTTACCTTGTCAAAAAAGGAAATTGACATTATGTTACTATATAACATTTCTAACTTGAAAATCCACATTATCAATTTAATACAATATCACCAGATCTTCCATCATAACAAAATTATATGAGTGAAGTTACCTTTACAATCCATTAAATTACCTTTCAGCACTTTAGCTACTGTAACTAACTCAGAAGAAATTTTTTTCCTAAGAAGGCTTAAAATATTTTTCAGCTTGGCTTATTGCCTTAACCTTTAGGCTGTGTGCAATTCCACCATGCACCTTGTCCACCATGGGCTAATAATAAATGTAACTATCATTTGGGAGGCATGCAAAGCCAGCCTGGTGCTCACCAGGATGCTTAGCAATTGATAGAGAAAACCACAAATTCTACACCCATATATAAAAGCAAATCTAGATAAACCCTGCATTTTTCCCGTGCAATAATAAAATTACTTTGTAGCAAAATACCTGTAACATTACATAAAACTCTTCAAATCAAAGCCATTTTTTTTGCATTAAATAAAAATGAAAACTTCAAAGACTACAACTCAAAAAGCTATGGAAAGCCAGAAGGAAGGTTAAGTGCTCTCCCCGGCACCACAGACATGCAGCTTTTAACGGTGTGACTCTCACATCAATCCCTTACATGAACGGGTAATTATTTAGCATTTCTTTTCATCTTTCTCATTCAGTATTTGGCCTCTGATGTTATTCAGCATTTCCTGCTGCAAGGCCTACATTACACACAAAGTGCTGAATTTCCCTCAGGGAGCTCTCCCTGTCCCACCCAAGTGCTTCCAGGGTATCCCAGTCTCCCGTTCAGTAGGAGGCCATTATTACCATTGCTTTATACTGTAGAAATGAAGGTCATAGATGCCTGAGGTATCCAGCAATTTTGGCTGCTCACATTGAGATAGCTGCTTTTTACAGAGTCCTTAGAATTTTCAGTCCTTTTGATGGGCATGCCTGCATGACCAGATGAAACCCTCGGGCTGAGGAACCCAGCTATCTGTGCTATCAC